TTCTAGAAAGTAGAGGGCGTGAGAATAGTCACGTGATCTCGATGACGCAACAGTACCAAAGTTTTCTTTAGAGACATTCAGTTGTTTCGGCTGATACTTCAATATATAATGTTATATTTCGGAGCTGTTTATGACAAAATATGCAGGAAAACTGAGAGTAAATATAAATCCTCTTTTTTTTCGAATTTTTAAACAATTATATATATTTGTATGCGGAATTATTCAACTACATAATTTAAATTCTTAAGCGAACATTGTGTAATCAGGAAGTCGTTTACTCATCATGTTATAATCTGATAAAAAGGCTTGTTGATATGAAGCTTTCTATTTATTCCTTTAGTAAGAGAATGTTGATCTTCAGGTGTGCGTTATGTAACGGTCATTAGCTACTTTAACACTTCTATAAATAGAAGTCAAAGACTGCTTTTCTAAGCAGCCTTTGTTTGCAGGAAGAACACTGTGGAAAGTTAGACCACAATAATTCACTTCCGAACTAAAATATTCTATATAAAAAAGTGTCATTATTTCTATTCTTTCACTTTAACAAACCGAGAAACAGGAAATTATTTTACCAAGAAAAATTGAATTTTATCGAAGTTTTCCACAGAAATTAAAGTTTTTTTGTTGTAAATATTTTTTTTTGTTAGAAATGTTAAGACATATTGGAAATTAACATAAAATATACTTTTAAATGGTATAATGATTTGATTGGTTGCATGATTTTTCTCGATATATTACATGAACTGATAGAGTAGACTGTAGAGGGAAGGAACCTAGTCAAGAGCACCTGCCGCCACCTCTATTATCATGGGGCCATTTTGTTCATGAGTTTTATTGTAATTATCTTAAGCAGGGAGTTTTTAAGATTTATGCGAAGTTGGATTTAGAGTTTGATACTATGTTCAAATTGAAAAAGTTTAACTATATATGTTGAAGAAAAAACCTTCAGTTTATTCGGATTATACAATATTTTACATGAAAGAACACAACATAACAATAAGTTACACTCTTTTGAGTCGAGGTTCAGTGAAATATGAGGCAATTAGTTACAACACCGCTAAAAGACTATAACCGCAGTCAGTTTGTTTGTTTTTTAATTTCGCGCAAAGCTACACGAGGGCTATCTGCGCTAGCCATCCCTAATTTAGCAGTGTAAGATTAGAGGGAAGGCAGCTAGTCGTCACCACCCACCGTTAACTCTTGGGCAACTCTTTTACCAACGAATAGTGGGATTGACCGTCACATTATAACGCCCCCACGTCTGAAAGGGCGAGCATGTTTGGTGTGACGGGGATTCGAACCCGCAACTCTCAGCTTGCGAGTCGAACAAGATAAAACATAACTTGAAAGATTTATAATTTTATGGTTTTAGCGCATACTGTAAGCCGAACTAACGCGAGACATATTGTTATGACAGCGGAAGTCGCATGACGCTGAGAGCATGTGCACTGGAGTTTCTGGAAGGATCATGAATTATCGGGGAGGCCCGAGTTTGTTCGAGGCGCCTCTTTTTTTTGGTATATAAGACTGGGAGAAAAATCAGCGCAATTGCAGAGATAGATTGGCAGATAGATTGAAGAGATAGATATAGATAGTTAATCGAGTCAAGCGAGCAGTAGGCCCCGTAAG